CCAACCTACGTTAACGTGGTAACCAAGGACGACCAGGAGTACCTACTTCTACACACCTACTAGTCTGAACAGCACCAGGATCACTTCTACACACCTTGTAACTGAACAGCACCAGGATCACTTCTACACACCTTGTAACTGAACAGCACCAGGATCACTTCTCCACACCTTGTAACTGAACAGCACCAGGATCACTTCTACACACCTTGTAACTGAACAGCACCAGGATCACTTCCAGCGAGAACGAGCCTCTGTCTACAAAGTCGCCGTTAAACAGGTAGGGATTGGTCTCGGATGGGGTGCCATTGAGCTCAAAGATATTTAATAAATCGTAGTACTGTCCGTGTATATCTCCGCAGATGGTGAACTTGCCGTCTTTGGGCACCTTGACGTCCACGAGTGTACTTTGCGCCTTGAAATAGGTCATGACCTGCAACATTCCAAAATAAAAATTAGGAACGTCCCAAAACAGAAAATTGGGAGTCGTAAATAATAAAGGTCTGGCGCAATTGGTGGGATTTAGTGTATACAAGTGACTTGTACCGGCTTGAAAAACACGGATAATGACATAAAGAAGCGAAGTCCGATGGATGGACAAAAAGCACAGAACACGCGCCTGTACATACTTACAGTAACATACATACACACACGAATCAGTCACGTCTTATGACACGGATAAAGAACACAGAACACGCACCTGTACGTACTCACAGTAACACACATACACGCGCAAATCAGTCACGTCCTGTGATACGGACAGGCAATAGCCACACACCTGCAGAAGGATCTGATACACAAACTTGCGGTGCAGTCGCCTCTCGGACTTAAAGTGCGTCTTGAGCTCCTCTACAAACTCCTTTGTGATTTTGCCATCGACCAGGCGAGGCCCTTCGTACGAGTCTTCTACGTGCATGCTATCCACATCCAACCCCTCCGCCACACTCTTGGCTCCCTCCCTGTACAGTTTATAAGCGTAAGTGTGTCAGGCCTGATACGGACACGCTGTTGACACGCACGATAGCTGGTAGTCAATGGTATGGTAGTTGAAGAGATCAAACATTTATATGCAGCAGTGTATATACATGCCCTCCTATGTGTATTTTTTGTGCAAGGCATGAGCCGATGTTAGCATAAATTGGGTATCTGCGTCCAGAAACTTGCACGTTGTGATGCCAGTAATCGGTTTTGACTGCTGAATTAGGTTAGGTATTTTTTTTTGTTCTGTTTGTACGATTGGCCAGAGTGTGGCAGCTCAGCTTCGAGAGTCCATCAAACCGGTAAACTGTGGTACACATCTTGCCATGTGCACCTGTCTACATTTAAACAGGCCAATAAGAACCTTGTTTGTCAGTTGCATGCGTACTCGGCTTACCGATCCGATGAGATCGCCTCCTCGAAGAGCATCTTATTGACCAGCGTTTGACACTGTTTGAACTTCTTCTGTGCGTCTTTGTCGCGTGGCTTGGCCTTTGCCACGCGATGGAAGTCTCTCAGAGACTCCTTGTAGTGGCCCAGCGCAAAGTTAGCCGAGGCTCGTCGGTAGTAACTGTGAACAAGGAACGTATGGCGTGGGTATAGGTGTGTGGTGACATGGTACTACTGTGCAGTGGACAGTATAACAGGGGTAGTGCTGATGGGGTATAGATGTGTGGTGACATGGTACTGATGTGCAGTGGACAGTAGAACAGGGGTAGTGCTGGTGGGGTATAGATGTGTGGTGACATGGTACTACTGTGCAGTGGACAGTACAACAGGGGTAGTGCTGGTGATGATGCAACGGTGGAGGTGCATAGTGTAGGTACACCCAGTGTACTTGATTCGTACACCATCTGCATGCTACACAGCCCATCACTTTATGGTATATACTACTTGACAGCCGAATATCTACAGTACAGTGGTATTGCAATCGACTACACGCAGCTTTGGATACAGAAAGGCGCCTTTAAACCAGTCACTCACTATTCAGGCATTGATCTCATAGCATTGTGGAATGATACTGTGGAAAAATTTGATGAAATCAAATCGCCCATCTCAAGATACAACTCACGCACGTCCCTTCCAAGGACATTGAATATACGTTGCTAAACCCACGCAACGATCAAGGACTGAATCATGCATACATACATACACATATACCTACATACCTACCTACCTACTTACATGCATGCATGCATACAAACATACATTTATACATATATACATACACACACAAATACATACATACATACAAACATGCATACATACGCTTTGACAAACTTGGGGTCGATCTCGATACATTTATCAGCATCTACGAGGGCATATCCGAATGCTTCCGTTTTGATATATGCGAATGAGCGGTTAGACCAATACGAGGCTACAGTGGGGTTGAGGTCAATGGCTGCAGAGTACTTCTCGATCGACTCGTGGAAGTGGCCCGCTGTGCATTAGTGGGGAACACAAGGTCGTTCGTGTGTTAAGTATACAGACAAGGATTGTGGAATATATAGTATTTTAATTATATTGACAAGGATTGTGGAGTATATAGTATATTAAGTATATTGACAAGGATTGGGGAATAGATAGTATATTAAGTATATTGACAAGGACTGTGGAATAGATAGTATATAAAGTACATTGACAAGGATTGCGGAATAGATAGCATGTGTATCTGTTGTGAGGTTGTTTGATATAACATGCACCACGGCAACGGTCAAAGGCATAGCCGGACCAGCGGGCAAAAACTCATTCGGCTCACAGCCACACTATTAAGTATACAGACAAGGATTGCGAAAGATAGAGCGTGTGTATCTGTTATGCCCTATTCGATATAGTCCAGCGTCGCGTACATGTAGACACGTCTGTTCTGTACACAATGCATGTAGATTGTAGACCATAGGGTGAAGGAGTATACAACGTGTGTCTCAGGTGTGCACGGTTCCATACGCCATGATTTAAAGACAAATATATTGTAGTGTATGGTGCGTACAGACAAGGTTGTGAGAATAAAGCATGTACATCTGGTGTGTTATGAAATGTGGATCAGAAACGCGGGTATGCGTACTAGTGTGCAGTATACGACTCCGGTGTGCATGTGGACAGCGGTTAAGTAGTTCGTATGTAGTGTGTCTGGTGTGTAAAATTCGACAATGAATCTTCACGTGCGTGTAGACAGATGTATATGAAGCAAGCAGGTAAAAGAAAAATATATATTCATATCCATACATACATATATATGCAAATACATGAACACATTCACATATATATACATATACATGTACATATATCATTTAAACAGACACCAACACACAAAATAACACAATATATATATATATATATATATATATATATAATACTATATATATATATATATGTGTGTGTGTGTGTGTNTGTGT